CCGGGCGGGGTGTGGGTGGCCTCCAGCCCGCAGGCTGCGTGGCCGGCGTCGCGGAGCTGCTCTTTGTGTCTCCCGGGGCGGGTGCAAGTGTGGAGTGTGTGCGTTCGCGCCCGCGCGGCGCCTCCAACCCGCCACCCGGTGACAGCTTTCCAGGGCCCTCCCCGCCAGACCTTTGCCCGAGGGGACAGTGGCTGGGCCACCCAGGGGGAGTTTCTTTAAGTTGGAGGGGAAAGGGCTGGGTGAGGCGGCCCGCCCGCGCAGCCCCAGGCAGCGCACCCCGAAGTTGCTGCTGCAGGTGCAGCGCCCCCTCCTTCCCCGCTCCTCCCCGCCACCTCGGGCCTTGGAGGGCGGGAACCCCTCAAGGGCTCAGCTGAAGGGGGGCTCCCGATTTTCAGTCGCCAACTTGGGTGCCATCCTGTACGGAAGCCACCTGGGCAGGGGCGTTCGGGTGGGAGGTTGTCCGGGTAGAGGGCCCCCGAGACTGTTGCGGAAGCCGGGCTGGCGGGCGGGCGGCGGGCGGCGGGGAGAGCTCAGCGGCCGTGGCACCAAGCCGGGGTGCCCATGTGACTGCGGTGTGCTTGGGAAGAGGAAGCTGTAGAGGTCAGTGCAAAGGCGTCACGCCAGAGCGAGCAGGAGCGAGCGGGGAGCCCCAAGTCGGTGCAGGCGGGAGTCTGGGGTGGCCTGTAGGGGCCAGGGCAAAACCACCCTGTCACAGCCACTCTGGCTGTTCTAAGGCTCGCAATCACTGGGTGGGAGGGGCAGCCCAGGGCTGGCTGCCAGGAAATGAGGGACATCGGGAGGAGGAACCACTTCAGGAGAGGCTGGTCTGGAAGTGGCCTCCCCTGGCCCCAAGGGGCCTCCGCTGATGCTGGAGGGTGACCCTGAAGGCAGATCAGACACAGACTCAACTTGGATAACTTTCCCTGCACACAACAGTCAGGAATCCCCATTTTCCACGTGCTTTGGAGGTTAGGGCTGGGGGCCGAGGTTGAGCTGAGTCTGGGTGAGGATTTTGGGCCAGGCAGTCATGGGGCACGGAGCTGGGGAGCCAAGCACCCTTACTGTCCTATGCTGTGGGCACCCCTGGTGGGTTCTAGCTGCAGTCTGAAGGCAGCTCGCAGGTTCCCAGGCTCCACCCTGCACACACTTAAATTGTTTTCTCTAAACTGTGTTCAGCTGAGGCCTGGAGGGGGTGGAAACCAAGGTTAGATTAAAAAAAGAAAAGGAAAAACCAAACCTAGATGAAGAGGTGGTTTTAGGGAAATGAGGACTAATATTTTGAAGTGGTGCTTAGAAGAGGCCGGTGGTGTCCGTGGGGGTGGGGTGAGTGAGGGCTTCAGGACCCCCCCATTCCTTGGAGAGAAGAGGCTCTCAGAGGCCTTCAGTCTGGGGACGCGCCTGGCCCAGGGCGGACAGGCGGGAGGGCGTGGAACCCAGAGTGAGGACTTCAGCAGCCCTAGTGCCAGCTTCGTGACAGCCTGCGTCCTGGGCTGTCAACTACACCCCTCCGATGGGGTTGCTAGGCAGCGGGGCTCTGATGTACGGGAAGGCCTTCTGATTTGTCAGCCTCCTGCAGACACATGGTTAAGGTTCCTTCCAGCCTATCCGGAGGAGGGACGCGGGGCACGCCGCCTGCATACTGCTGAGCCCCAGGTCCACCTGAACGAAAGGTGCACAAGGCAGCCAGCAGGAGGGGCCCAGCCCTGCCGCCTGCTAACCAGCCCAGCCCCATGCCCCCCATTCTCTCCACTCGGGCTTGCTGCTGGCTCCTCCCAGCCCGTCCCCGCCCCATTCCTCCCCTGGTCCCCAAACCATGAAAAGCAAAGTGCAGCAGGGAAAAGAGGTCAGTGGGGTAAGCGTGTGCGCGGGCCTCTGGAGGTGCCAAGGTGCATGGGCATGAGCGGAGGGGAGGCTGCCCCTATCTGTGCCATCCAGGGCTCTTGTGGGAAGGGGTGAGTGGTGGTGGGGGGCCCTGGCACTGTTGTCCTCCAGGCCTGGACTTGGAAGCCTGCTCTGTGCCCCCTCCTCAAGCTCTGCCCACCCCTAGGAAGGCAGCATGATGGCAGAGGAGAAGAGACTGGTGTGATCCTGTTAGGAAGGGTGGACTCTGGCTCTCCCTGGGGCTCGGGAGGGAGGGAAGCCTCTGGCGGCCCTTCTTCCCCCTAGCATACGCCCTCCACCCCAGCCTGAGGTCCAGCTCCTCTCCCCCTCCCTGCCTAGCCAACACCCCCAGGGGCTTCTGTTAAATCTCTTCACTTTCTTTTTTTTCTAAATGGCTTTATTGAAATAAAATTCCCATACCATTCACCCGTGAAAAGTGTGCTGTCCAGTGGTTTCAGTGTGTTCACAGAGTTGTGCAACCACAATCAATTTTAGAACCAGTGTGAACTCCTGCACTCATTAGCGTTGTTCCCCATTCCACCCATCCCAGCCCCTGGCCCCCCACCCATCTATCTGCTGCCTCTGTGGATTTGCCTACTTAGGACATTTCATAGGTGGTATCACACTGTGTGGGCCTTCATGGCCTGTCCCTCTTGGCTTCTAGCTGCGTTGCTTACTAGAGTTGCAGATCCTCTTGCCACATCGCTGTCCCTGTGCCTTGCTCCATCCACAATGTCTTATGCATTCTTGTTCATTTCTCTCAGTGCCCTGTCCCACTCGGGGCTGGCCCACTGGTTGAGTGAGTGAGATGAATGGGAACTAGTAATTGGCAAGTTATGCAGGTGGTTTACAACTGAATTCCAGGGGGCCCAGCTGCTACCGGGGGCGGCAGGGGGGGGGCGTGGGGGGGGCTAGCAGATTGGGAGAACTGTGGGTATCAGAGCTGTGAAGGAGCAGAGAGAAAGCCTCATAGTTGGTTGGGGGTGGGGCAGAGGTGGACACTGACAATGAAGGGGTCTATGGGTAGCCACCACTCTCAGAAATCTGACAACAAAAATGTCATCCCCAGCTGGGTGCCATGGCGCACGCCTGTAATTCCAGCAGCTCAGGAGGCTGAGACAGGAGGATCATGAATTCAAATCCAGCTTCAGCAACGGCGAGGTGCTAAGCAACTCAGTGAGACCCTGTCTCTAAGTAAAATTACAAGAAAGTGCTGGGGATGTGGCTCTGTGGTTGAGTGCCCCTGAGTTCAATCCCCAGTACCACCCCCTCCCCTTAAAAAAATAATGCCATCCCCAATCTTGGGGGTTTGGTGGCCTATGATTGAGGTTTGTCACCTGATCACAGGGGCATCCCCCCTGGGGGAACTCCCATGTAGATTTGAATTTTTAAAAAAGGAAAAGAAATTTCCCAGCATCAGCATTTATAAAAGGCACCAGGTCAGACAGCTCTGAAGGGATGCCCACCTCCTGCGACTGCATTAAACTCCTGTCCCCTCCCCACTTCTGTTCTGCAGGTATTGTCTGATGAGCGTGAAGGGCTGTTTCACTGATTTCCACATCGACTTTGGAGGCACTTCTGTGTGGTACCATGTTTTCCGGGGTGGGAAGGTGAGTTCTGATGATTCTCCAATTGTCTGTGTGTCTCTCACTCTTTGAGCACAGAGGGCTCACTCACCTGTCCCCTTCCTTTTGCACCTTTTCTCCCAGCCAGCCCTGCCCCGTGAGTACTTTCAGGGCCACTCCATCTCCTAGGACCATCTGGACTCTCTGCCTCCTTCTGGAGGGCAAGGTCAATGCTACCAGCTGTTTGGCATAATGTCGGGTTATCCATTCCCTCCCACTTGCCCAGTTCAGTGTCCTGAGCACCTTCGGCCAGTTTGGAGCTGAGCTTGACTTCCAATAAGCTCCAGCCCAGGGATCTTTCAACTTCAGAGTCTAGTGCCAGCAGCACCTGCCTCCAAAAATGCTTTACACCCCCTGAGCAGGGAGGGGGGTGTGCGTTCAGGGTGCTCCCAATGGGTCTCTTCTGTGTGTGTGTCCAAGCGTGGATATAGGTGTCCATGTGCGGATGTAGGTGTCCCTGCACGGACGTGGGTGCCTCTGGAGAATGCCTGTGTGCCTCCCTGCTCGTCTGGGTCAGCATGTGCATTTGTTTTGAGAGAACATGTTGGAAGAGAGTCTGGGAGGAAGTCAACCCACTTGATTCCAGATGTTTTTTTCTCCTCCAAAGTGAGAGCAAGCTGGGTTTATTTATTGGGCCATTTTATCATACAACTTAGGAAATTCCCTTCCTCTCTCTTCTCCCACCTCCCATTCTCTGTGGCTCAAGAGGATGTGCCCCTACGCCCTCAGCACAGACAGTATTCCTCTCCTGGCATTTCAGCTGGAATGGAGATGCCCTAAAGCTGATCTGAGTCCTCCCTGCTTCCTCAGAGGCCCTTTAGACCTGATCTTGGAGGGGACCCAGGGGCTTGGGGGATGAAGCCTCTCCCCTCCTTGCCCTCCCCCCCCCCCCCCCCCAGGCAGGTGAGGCTGCCTGGATTGTGTCAGGGCCTGGAAGAAATTGGAGACTGGCTGATGACATCTTTTCCTCCCAAGATCTTTTGGCTGATCCCACCAACCCTGCACAACTTGGCGCTGTATGAGGAGTGGGTGCTGTCAGGCAAACAGAGCGATATCTTCCTGGGAGACCGTGTGGAACGATGCCAAAGAATTGAGCTGAAGCAAGGCTACACGTTTTTCATCCCTTCCGGTAGGTTCTGACGTGGCTGGCCCTGGGCTCTGGTCTGCCACTGGCTCCCCCAGCTTTCAGAGCCATGGTTCTGCAGCCCAGTGGCCTCAACGGGGTTTGAGGCCGAGGGAGGGCTTGTCCGAACCTGGCGGGTTTGATTGGCTGTGTAGCGTGTAGTCCCCAAGGGTAGTGGGCTTCAGGTGCAGGGAAAGATGTAATTTACCTGTCTGTGCCTGTGGACTAGAATGTCTGTCCTTGAGAAGGCCTCAGGCCCCGCCTTAGGGGAACTCTTCATGTCTTCCCTGGGACTTCCTCGGGAGATTTCTGTGTGAGATGATGACAGCGAGCGACCCTTTAGGTGCCGTGGTGGGTGCACCCCAGAGATTTGGGATGCAAGCTCTGGGGAAGGGCAATGAATAGTGTCAGTTGAAATTGTGGCTGTGTTGCTTATGAGCTGTGACTGCCTTTCTATGCCTCTGCTCCCATCTGTGGAATGGGAGTAGGGCTTCAGGGTGGTTGTGAGGACTGAGTAAGCTGAGATCTACCTGCCTGCCGTTTCTTTGGAGATGGACTGAAGGCTTTTGGCTGGTTATAGGCTGAGTCACTAGTGGATGTGGCTGAAGACTGAAGTCATGTTCTAGGTCTTGGGCTGCATTAACACAAGCATTCTTTTTTTTTTTTTTTTTAAGAGGGAGAGAGAGAATTTCAACATTTTTTTTTTTAGTTCTCGGCGGACACAACATCCTTGTTTGTATGTGGTGCTGAGGATCGAACCCGGGCCGCACGCATGCCAGGCGAGCGCCGCTACTGCTTGAGCCACATCCCCAGCCCCAACACAAGCATTCTATCCAGGTTGAGATAGGTTACAGTCCAACCATGCATAGAGTGAAGGAGTCAGGCCACATGTGGGAGGTTGTGTACCTCTTGGTCATTATACTTTGGAATCTAGAAACCACATCAGGTAAAATGAGAAGGAGGGATTTTTTTTTTTTTTTTTAACCTGAGAAACAGATGTGTGGTAACTATAGTTAGCCAGGTGAAGGATTGTCTCCTAGAAGAAGGTATAGCTGAGTGGTGCTGGGATGACTTGCTCTGTGGGTAGGTAGTGAGGTCCCTGCCATTGAAGATATACAAGTAGAAACTAGCTATCGGTGTCTCAAGGAGATTAGGGGAACTGCCACTGGGTGGAAGCGTGTACCAGAGGATAAGGGTATCCTTGAGACCACGGAGATCCATTGCATGGACAAGCTGGCTACACTTAGGTTGCTGAGCATTGACCTTGGGTCTGGCCGTGGAGCAGGAGGGCCGTGGTTGTGGCAGTAGTTCTCACAGTGGAGGAAGGGCCTGCACATCAGAGCTCTTCTAGCAGATTGGGCGGAAGGTAGAGACTGCCCTATTAGGAAAATGTGGGAATTGGGGGTGGCAGGGTTCAGTGGGGGTGACTCTGTTACCGTGGCCCCAGGCCCCTACTTGAAACAGAAGGGATAGCACTTGGTGGGCAGCAGGTATGTGGACCCTGCAGAGTGGCGTGGAGCCTTGGGCAGGAGGTGGGTCCTGGAGTGTGCTCCAGCCCATGCAGGTGTTGTGGGGTGTGGGGGGGGGACACTCACAGCCCTGGTCACCCTCCGTGACTTTCCTCTCTCTGTGCCTCAACTATTGCATCTCTACAGAGGGATTGGTGTCCTGGGACTGAACTCTGGGACCCTCGAGATCCCTCCCATCCCTGTTCCCTCAGCTCTGGGCCCTGTGCAGAACTGGGAGAGGGCTGGTCATTCTGTTGACTGGTGACTTCCACTTGTTGGGGAAGGTCCTAGGAAGCAGCATCACATCCACAGAAGGTATATGAGGGCTGGAAGAGATGTGGATTTGAACCCCAGCAAGCAGGGGTTAGACCCCAGCAAAGACTTAGCAAGGCCGTAAGCAATTTAGTGAGACTTTGTCTCAGAAATATAACTAAATAAATAAAAAGAGCTGAGGATGTAGTTCATTGGTCAAGCACCCTTGAGTTCAATCTCTGGTACCAAAAAAAAAAAAAAAAAAAAAAAAAAAAAAAAAAAAAAAAAAGAAGAAGAAGAAGAAGAAGAAAGAAAGTGAAGATAAGAGACCATTGGAATTTACCACCTGCCTCCTGATGGTGGTGTGGGAGGGGAGGTGACAACATAAATCGGTGGTTCCCAGGCATCATTTGTTGGACCAATGAATTAAAAAAAACAAAACTTGGGATCTGATATAGAATTACAATTTTGCTAAAGGTGGACATGAGTTAAAAACACGAGGGCTGTAGTTCCGTGGTAGAGCACCTGTCTAGAGCACACAATCCCCAGCACTGCAAAACCCAACAAAACCAATTACATGAGAGCAAAAAACCTCCTCATGTAATCCTGCTGTTTCATGACCATTCCTGCAGTAAAGCAGGTGACATGCAGCCCCACCTTGACATTCCTGGTGGTTGGTTCCAGTACCCTCAGGGGATACCAAGTTCTGTCTCCAGATGACTGATGGTACCCAGAGCAGGGTCAACACTGTGCCAACAGTTGCTATGCGGTATTGTTTAAGGGATAATGACAAGGAAAGCCTTGTCTGTGTACGTTCAGTACAGATGCAATTTGTTTGGATATTTTTGATCTGCAATTGGTTGAAAGTGTAGATGCAGAAGGTACGGATGAGCACGGACGACAGGAAGAAACTAGAGAATAAGGGATGGCACTTTAATTCTGGTAGTTTTGTGCATATGAAAATCTATGCCATCTTTAGTTTTCTCATTCTGTTGCCAACTAGTGAAAACCAAAAGACCCACAGAACATAGACGAATGCTTTGGTTCCTCTGGGAACTTCAGGTTTTCTCTGGTGTCCACACCCTGTGAGCCATGACACCCACATCTGAGATTTGGGGTAGTTGCTTGTGGCTTTGAGTGGAGAGGGAGCCTTGGGGATTCCAGGAAGGGTTGGCAGCCTCCTGAGACGAGCTTTTCCTTACTGGAGAATCTAATTTGGGCATTTCCTGCCTCTGACCTGGGTGTTCTGTCCCCTGGTGTGACTTTAGGTGAGTGTCTCACCTCATGCTACCCTCAATCCCCCCCCCCCCCCCCCCCCCCCCCCCCCCACCGCCAATCTGTCCTTGAGTAAGTCCTCTTCAGTTCTCTGAAAGCCCATGGGATGCTGATGAGTTAGGAAGATTTTAAATGGTGCAGTATTTTTTGTGAGATGTGATTGAACTTTTTGGCTTGTGTCTGAGGGGCTGTGGTCAGGGCTGTTCATTCTTCAAGCCTCATTCCTGGACAGTCCTGGAGAGCTTCCTGGGAGAGGAAGACTGTTGACAGGTGACTGAGAAGCCATTCAACCCCTTGCTATCATGAAATTTCTCCATTTTGTAACATGAGTTGAATCAAACTAAACACGTCCCTGGATCTGATACAGTCCATGGTGTGCCAGTTTGGGTTCCTGCTACCAGCTACGAGGTCCTCACTTCATATTGGCAGCCCCAGGGCCCACCCAGGGCCTGACCCTACACAGACAGGATGCTCATCAGTGCTCAGGAGTGAAGCCCGGTGGGTCATGGGCCTCTGTGTGAAGCGCCTCCACCGGAGGAGGCAGCTGTGCGGAGGCGGCTTTTGATTCTGAATCCTAAATATCCATTGTGGATGAGACTCCTTATGCCTTCACTGCTCTTCTTGGCCCCCTCAGGTCCTAGAGATCAGCCTGGCGGTGGGTTTTGTGGATTGCTGCTCTCCTTCCATGAGTGCATCTGTCCCTTGTCACTTGGCCTGAATAGCCTCTGTTTATTGCCATCATATTGCTGATGGCTCTGGACTGAAAACCGATGGCAGATGCCAGCCTCCCCTGTCCAGCCACCAGCCCGGGACACCTGCTCTCAGACTTCCTGGAGCATTGTCACGAGCGGGCTGCCGTTGGGAGGGTGGACACGGATGGGGCTCATGACGGCTGTGGTTTCTCCTCCTGGGTTCTTCCTGAGGCCAGCTTTTGGGCAGTGAGGCAGATGTGAGCAGGCGGGGGAGGGATTCAGCAGCCACTGTAATCCAGGGCAGGCCATCTGACCTACCAGGGAGCCCTGGGGTCAGAAGAAGCTTCCAGAATCCCTCAAATTTTGGGGTGTGCAGATTCCCTCCTCCCTTTCTGCAGTGGCAATTCCCCTCTGTTTCCCTCTTTGCTCACACATCGGGCTGGCTCATGGATATAAGCCAGGTGCGTCTGCGGCTCCACCTGCAAGGAGAACCGGGAGAGTCCGAGGCTGATTAATACGGATTTCCATGCGTGCCAGCCTTTCCCAGACCCTTGTGATTGGCAAGAACATCACAATCAGTGACACGTTCCCTACACAGTGAGTTCTCTACCAGGAAGGGAGTGCTCTCCTTCTTGTCAGGCAGGGACACTGAGGCCAGGAGAGGGGGCAGTTGCATGCTCTTGTCACACGGTGATCAGGGCTGGGGGCAGCCTGGAACACTGGCCGCTGGGTTGGGCTTTGTGGAGGGAGGGAGGTGGGCAAGGGAGGAAGTGTGAGACTAGGAAGAGCAGCCGGCAGACAGCAGAGGTTGGAGACTGAAGAACTATGGGGGCCGAGGCCTTTCAGAGGCACAGCCTTTGTCTTTCTGCGCAGAGGGTGTGAGGGCCCAGGTGGCTTGCAGTGGCACAACTGGCCCACGGATCAGCTGAGTTTGATGGCCAAGCTGGAGCCTGGGAGTGAAAGGCAGAGGGGGACTGGTAAAGGGAAGCCTCTGTTACTGCGCCTGGGGGTGGCTGCCTCCTACACCATCTTTCCCTTGCTCTCCCCTGAGGACCACCAGGGGTAGGAAGGGCCAGCAGCTGAGTGTCCAGCTGAGGTCTTAGCCTCCCTATGCTCTTCCCAGGTGGCAGCTCTGCTCCTAGCAGCGGTGGCTGCCTATGACTCAGGGCTGGCATGTCACAGCTCACAGGGGAGCGACTCAACTGCTTGGGCTTGTGGGGAGAGGCAGATTGGGTTTCTCCCTGTCATTTTCCTTTGAGTAAGACTTAGGCACATAGGGTTTGGGGGTGCAGCTCAGTGGTACAGCGCTTGCCTAGGAAGTGCGAAGCCCTGGGTTTGATTCCCAGCGCTGTAAAAGCAAACAAACCGAACAAAACCAAAAAGGAAACAGAATTAGGCACACAGATGGACGGGAGAAGAGTCTTGGGTGGCTGCTGCCCTTGCCCACTTGCCCCCTCCCCTTCGACTGACCTCCCTCTGTCTCCCACTGGGGCTTGTTCTGCCTCTGTCTGTCCTTATCTCTGCCTCTGTCTCTTATTTCTCACCGTGTTTCTCCTTTTGCCTCTCCTGTGTGTTTCCATGCCTGTCCCCTGGGACTTCCCAGCTAAAAAGGGAGCTGCTTCTCTTGTCAGCTGCGACTTTGCTCAGTTGCTGGCCTCCTGAGCCTCAGTTTCGGCATCTGTGAATTGGACTCAATGCAAAGCTCTCTAGCCCCTCACTTTGCCTCTATCTGGCAACCAGGAGCCGTGTCGGTCTCTCAGGCGCTTGGCAGGATGGCCAGCCTGAACTGAGGGGTGGCTGTTGGATGAATTCTGCATCTTTCTTTGTCCCTAGTGGGATCAAGCAGAGGCTGACTGCCTGGGTTCAAAATCCCCATGGTGACTTGACTTTTCTGTGCCTTGGTTTCTTCGTGTATTCGGGTTGAATACACGTCCTTGAGAGGGCTTCTGGGAGAACTAATGAGCCGAGGAAAGGTCTGGAAAGCCTCGAGGCTGTGCCTGGCACAAGTGAGGATTTCAGTATCCTTACTGTGGTGACTGCGGGGCTGTGGCCTGGGATCCCAGAGAGATGAACAGCCAGGGCCCATGCTGTTGAAGCTGTAGTCTGCAGGAAAGAGACCTGTCAGGCCGCTTAGCCTCGGGGGCCGAGTGGAAGCAGAGCTGAGATGGGGAGCAGGCATCGTGTGGCGAAGGAGGCCACCTGGAAACGTGCCTGGAGGATTCAATGACAAGGTGTACTCTGCAGAGGAAGGTGTCTGGGTCCTGCCTCTCTGGCAAGATATCACTCCTTTGTTGTGGCTCTGAGCTGTCCTGGTGCTTGTGGCAATGATGAGAAAAAGGCTCGGGGCAGATGTGCAGCCTGGGAGGGGTGTTTCCAGCTGCCTAGCCAGTGTGGAAGCTGGGAACAGGGCCTGACTCTCTGTTGGCTGCCATAGTGGGGTCCCAGGAGAAAGACTTGGCCCTCAAGGTCGGGCTTGGTCTGCAGCTTCTACCACCTGACTAGAAGTAGCCAGGGGCCACTGTGGCTGCCAGCCCAGTTCCTCTAAGCTAACCAGGAGTCTTGGCTTTCTACACCAACTATCTCTCTGTGTTGGAATTCTCCCAGCCCTAGGCACACACCCGCGGCACCTCCAGGCCCTCCTGAGTGCCATCTTTCCCTCCCTCAGGCCTTGTGTGGAGAGGAGTCCCCAGGGGACTGGAGGCTCATCTTCCTTTACCCTCTGCACCCCAGGTTGGATCCACGCAGTCTACACCCCCGTAGACTCCCTGGTCTTCGGTGGGAACATCCTGCATAGCTTCAACGTGCCCATGCAGCTGCGGATCTACGAGATCGAGGACAGAACCCGGGTAAGGAGGCTTCCTTCTCTCCTGGGGGTGGTGGTGGTGGTGCCAACCATTATGAAGTCCTCTGCAGTCCCCCTTTCCCTCTTACTCCCTGTCTTGAGCCAGGCTTGGATTGCAGTCTTACTGGGTGGAGGGGAGGGTATTCTCAAAGAGTCCCTCAAGTTTTTTGATCATCTCCAGACAAAAGGCAGCCAAGCCTCCTTGTGGAAGAGGAAGTGTCTCTTGAGAAAACAGCATAAGATATCAGGAACTGAGCCCTTTTCTTCTCCTGTGAGGAAGGGGTGTGAGGGGCTGGGGGATCTTATTGTTGCTGATGTTTGGAGGCCTTGGAAAGAGGGTCTACCCTGGTCCAAATTCAGGTATTATTGGCTATGCCTTCTCCCTGGGGACCTGAAATCTGATGGAGAGGAAGCCTGAAAATTCCCCCAGGTCCCCTCTCCGAGCTAGTCTCAGTGCCTACTGGGGACATTTCAAGGTCTTTGAGGCCAAGGCTTTCCTCTGCCTTTGACAGTGACAATTTCGGGTCTCCCCAACCCATGCCCCAGGACCAAGGGTCCATGTGTGTCCTGTGTTCCTTGAGTTTCTCCTACAGAGCTCTGGTGGCTGGGAACTTACCACCCGCTTTCCCCATTCTGGGGCTTGAGCAAGTGTCCCCAGGTATCTGAGACAAGACCAAGGGTTGGAAACTGGATCCCTGGGGCAAAGAGAGGCCATTTCTTTCTCTCTTTCTTTCTTTTTCTCTCTCTTTCTTTCTCTCTCTCTCTCTTTTTTAACATGGCTATTTCAATGTTTCTTTTGAGATATAATTCATATAACCATAAAATCTATATTCAAAGTGCACAAATCGGGGTTTTTAGTATCTTTACAACGTTGTGTAACCATCGCCGCTAGTTCCAGAACATTTCATCGCCCTAAAAAGAAACCTCGTACCCATCAGCTGTCACTCCCCATCCCACCCATTCTGCTCCAACAGCCCCCAATCAACTCTCTGTATGGATTTGCCTATTCTGGACATTGGCTATAAATGGAATTGGACAATATGTGTTCTTTTGTGTCTGGCTCTCACTTGGCACGGTGTTTTCAAGGTCACCCTACACTGCTGTGTGTATCAACGCATCGTTCCTTCTTAGGGCTCAGCACCCTCCATTGTGTGGGTAGATGGTACCCTTTCTTCTTGGGATTTGCCTTGGAGTTACCTCTTTTTGGCCTCAGAGAGGCATTGATGTGCCTGGACCCTAAAGAAGCATCTCATAAAAGAGCAGCTCTGGGCCAAGTCCATCTTCCTGATCTTTTTTTCAGGCCCAGGTCTTCTTCATGGAATCACATCCTTGAGCCAAAGTCTTAGCCACTATGTGAACCAGACCCCTTCAATAGTCCTGATGTGGAGGGGCCTGGTCCAGAGGTTCTCTGGAGACGACCCAAAGCCCTGGTGGGCAGTCATGCTTACTCCAAGGGCATGTGGACATTTGCAGCTGGTATATTTGCTGCCTGTGATGCCCAGGTCTGCAGACATTGGGGTCTGTGACTCTGTGCAAACCCCTTGTTTGTGGGCTTTCTCCCCTCTGTCACCCACCCTACCCTCCTGTCCTGGTCTGGAAAGACCAGCCCAGCCCTGATCTGGAGTGTGCTACTCTGGGCTGTCCAGGGGAAGGCAGAGTTGAGGCCCAAGTGGTGTCTCACAGTCCGGGTCAGTGCTGTCTGGGGCTCAGGCCAACTGTTCTTTGGCCCTGAAGAGCAGGCCAATTTGTGAGCATACCAGCAGGTGTGGCTAGAAACAGAACAATCTAGAGCGGGAGGTCAAGCTTAGGACTTTCCAGGCAATTCCTGAAAGCCAGAGTCAGGCTGGAATTTCTAAAGACTTTGGCAACTTGCTGGGCAGCTGTCCCCTCCCCTGGGAATCTGAGCGTGTATCTCAGAGGATATGGGCCCCATCATTCCCAGAGAAGCCAGCTCCCTCCCTCACTGGCGGTGCTCAAGGCAGGAGGCAGGCTTCACGCTTAGCTCTTGTGGAATATTGTGTCCATATTGAGATGTGTGGCAGGGCCCCTCCCCCAAGACCCCCTGTCCCTGTCCTCTGAGTGGGCACCCCATCTGGTTTCCTTGGAGCAGGTTGCCAGATGGGGGGATGGGGACAGGCTGACTGGCAGGCTGGGCTGGAACCAGCGGCAGGCTTTTTAATCTGCTTTGATTTCTGGTCTTTGGAGAGGGGCTTGGCTACAAGGCTCAATTGTTTATGTCTTAGGAGCCAAGGCAGACAAAAGGCACTGCAGAGAGAGTCCTGGAAGCCAGATAAAATGCCAGGGCTCCTTGTCAGCTCGCTACAGCTTAATTCTTTGCATCCCCTTGAGCTCCTTTAAGAAGGTTATCATCATTTAAAAATAGTTTTTCGCGGGCTGGGGATATAGCTCAGTGGTGGAGCACTTGCCGAGCATGTGTAAGGCCCTGGGTTCAATCCCCAGCACCGCAAAGGAATGAATAAATAAAAAGTAGTTTTTCCAAAAGTCCTTAAACCTGGCTTTGCTTGTGGAAACCACATGCAAGAGGTGGGCCGGAGGACTCTCAGTCTAAAAGGCCCGTGATGTAGATTTGTGTTAGAAAAGGAATTTGCCTTTGTGGCTGAAGATGGGGGATCCCCATCCCGGCTGGAAAGCCCTGAGATTCTCCAGGAGGTCATGTTTTGCTCTCACTGTTGTAATTTTTCTGGGCTGGATGGTAGGTGACCTCACCTGGCAGTGTCACTGCCTATAAAGTGGCAGGTCAGGTACAGGCCTTAGTGCCTGGTGGATTTCCACTCCCTCCCCACACTGAAGATAAGAATGATGGACAAAGTGTCCTGGTATGGATGCGATATGCTGGTCTTCTAAGATAATGTCTTCATGATCACGATGCGCTTTTAAATCCAGTTAGGTTAATAAGGGACAGGGATGGTCCAAATGATCACTCATCAAACTGCTGCGTCTCTTATGCTTATCTTTTTTTTCCCCCCTGCTAATGGCTTTAGTGAAAGCAGCCTTCCCAGAAAAGGTAATGCCGACACATCCATTCCCTCGCAGCCAGCAAATCTGTTTGGAAATTGCAAATAATTTACCCTTCCTCTCCCCCTCCCTACCCCCCCACCCCGCCATTGGATTTTTTCCCCCATTGATTTTTTTTTTTTTCCAGGAGAAAAACAAATTTTAAGGCACTTCCACCCACCCTTGTGTTTGACTTGTGCAACTCCTTGAGACCTGGGAGTTCTAGATGCACTGAGACACCTCGGCTGTCATCTCCAAAGGCCGTTCAGATCTCAGATGACTGAGGCCTCCAAAGTAGGGCTCAGGCCAGGTGCCCCTCGAATGGGCCTTTGGAACTCAAATTGAACCTTGCGATCACCCCGAAGTGCATGCCTTTTCTGACTGCCTTGCCCTGCATTTTGGACTGAGGTCAGTTAACAACTCAGTTTGGTGAGGCTCCGAGTTTGTCACCAAATAATATTGAGCAATCATGTGTTTAATGTTCCCAGGCATGTGGCTGAAACCTTTTGAAGGCGAAGGGTGGAAGGCGACAACCCATTTGTAAGTCAATTCTTTGCAAATTTTGTTCTGCGCAGTCTCCTCTCTTGGAAAAAAAAATAAAAAATAAAAACAAAAAACAGAAAACAAACCCTCAAATTCCTTCATCAGCATTTATTTTCACCCAGCTGGTTTCCCTTGGGTTCAGCAACAAAGAGGGGAGATTTATCTTCCCCTCCTGAAATACAGCCCCTCCATGTTTTTTTTTTTTTTTTTTCCTTATCTAGGAAGATTCTCAGGCATCACAGTGCTCATCCATGGCACAGTGGCTTGGATGATGTCCAAAAAAATTTGAAAAGTCAAAATGAACTTCAGAGTTTTACCAGTCAAGTAAAGATATACCAGTGAGAGCCTGTCTTCCTCAGCTTGCATTTGAGGGATTGGGTGATTTGTTTCAAAATTCCAATGCGGGGGAGGAGCTGAAGACCCCCCAAACCCTTTATCACAGGTGGTCAAGGTCTGCTTCATGCTGAAGAGCCCCTCTCTTTTGTAATCTCCAGGGGACATGGATCCAGTAACTGTGCAAAAAGATTATTACCATAGCAATAAAACTGGGCTTCTCAGAAAGTAGCTGGAGCCAAGGAAAACGCTAGGTTATGATCCCACCTCCATGCATCTCCCCAAGGAGCTGGAAAGCATGCGACGGCCATGACCTCATTCCAAAGCATACCACCCACCAGAGGCAGGGAGTGCAAATGGACCCAATGGGAGGCCTCAGAAACTAAGCTAGCAGGCGAGGGCAAGGAGCAGAGGGCAGGTGGGAGATTTTCCAGGTGGGTGCCTGGAGAACAGCAGGTGTGCTTGAATTTGTCTCCATCCCAGAGGTAGAGCACTGCGCTTGTATTGTCAGCAGACGGACCAGGGGAGCTGGGCTGGCAGAGCGTGTTTGCTTAAGCTCCAACTCCCTGAGTTCCTGGTGGGTGAAAGAGGTGAGGGGGTTTCTGACTGGCACAGACAGACCCTTGGCAAGAGAGCTAGAGAGCAGGCCAGGGGTGAGCGTGGTCAAGCAAGACCCCCATGTAGTGTCTGGAGAAGAGGGCCCTGCCGTGAGAGATGGGGACCACCCTCCATATCCTTGCTCTTCCCTAACCCACTCAGGATGCAGTTTCCAGAAGGCTTCTCTGTGCCAGGGTATTGCTTCCTTCCCATCTTCTGCTGCCATTTCCACTGTGCAGATCCCGCACTGCCACCCATTGGAATTCCCCCCACCCCTTTTAGATTCCATCCACTTTCTCACCTTTACTTCCCCCCATAAGAAACATCCAAGGGGGCCTCCATGTGGACTTCCAGGTGTGTGCGCCCTGGTGTCAGGATGTTTGCGTCATGCCAGGGACTTGTGCCCCAGGGAGCCCTTGGTAGCAATACAGGCTGGGGCAGCACAGGTGGTGTGGGGAGGAACAGGAGGTGGACACCTGAGGCCCCCGCCCCTGGAGGTTGATGAGGCCACACCCCATCTTCATTGGTTCTCCCCACAGCCTCCTTCCCAGAGTACAGGAGGAGGGTGTTCCATAGCCTGTCTGCAGATGGGTAAGGCTTGGGGTGGGTTTCTCCCTTTAAATGGGGAGGGAGAGACAGCAGAGGCTGTGCAAGAACATTCTAGAACAAGGAGCCCATGTATGTTGTAAGCTGGGGTCAGGCTGGGCTCCCACCTACAGATTCCCATAGCCACTGTCAGCAGGGTAGGGGACAGCTCTGTTTGCCTGCATCTCACAGAAGCACAAAGTCAAGCCCTCCACCTTCCCGGGCGTGCGGCCTGGGGACCTCTGAAGCAATGCCCTCATCCAGGCTTCTTCCTCTGCCTCATCGGTGCATGCTGCTGGCATCCTCCCTTCCAGCGCCTGCCTCCCCCCTCCCTTCCAGTGATACCCCCCATTTTTCCCTGCCGCCATTTGTGCTCTTGCTAAGATGATAAGAGTGACCCCAACCTATGGAACCTGTCCCCGCTTCTCTCCCTCCTGTCCCCATGGCCCTCAGAAACTGACCTGTGCCCACCTGGTCTCTGCTTCTAGGTGCAGCCCAAGTTCCGTTACCCCTTCTACTATGAGATGTGCTGGTATGTGTTGGAAAGATATGTGTACTGTGTGACCCAGCGCTCCTACCTCACTCAGGAATACCAGAGAGAGTCCATGCTCGTTGGTGAGTGACCCCCTGGAGCCCTCGGACAGCCTCACGGCTGGGGCAAGAGTTGTCTCTTCACTGGGGACTGGGGACAGTCTGGGATTCAGGGGATTCTTTTGAGCCAGAGTGTTGGGCAGAATCCTAGATGTCCCTCAGGGGAAGGCAACCTTGTCAGGTTCTCAACTGGAATACAGAAGCCAAGAAAAAGAACCCATGACCCCCAAGGAGTCACTTTGTCACCTCCAACTCATGGCTATGCAGATGGGGGGGAGTAGCAGGTCACCAGCAGGTTGCAGAAGCAGGATCGTCCCACAGAGCAAAGAATCCTGGTTCTTTTTCTTCCCCTGTGGTCACCAGCTGACACCCCCACACAGACACTCCCTGGGGGTTGGGTTTTGCTCTAACTGAGCAGGCCCGTGCGCAGGCCTTCCACACAACCTAGGCTGCCTTTGTGCTGCAGCAGTGGTGGCAAAGCTAGCTTGGAGGCACAGGGGAGTGTTCAGAGCTGCAGCTTCTGTGCCCTGCACGGCCACTGGTACTTAAAGGGACATCATCCCTGCTGCATGGCTGTTTTTTAATCTTTTTTTTTTTTTTGGTATTGGGGATTGAACTCAGGGCACTTTACCATTGAGCTACATTCCCAGCCCTTTTTACTTTTTTGACACAAGGAGCTCCCTAAGTTGCTAAGATTGGCCTCAAACCTGTAGTCCTCCTGCCTCTCTGCCTCCCAAATGGCTAGATGAAGGCGTGCGCCACCGCACCCAGCTTATCCTTGAGTCTTGACTTATAGATGCCAGCTCTGGAGTTGTGTCTAGCAGTGACAGTGAGCCATGACCTGCAATATGTAGGAAGAGCACAATTCTTCCCATCTGTTTTGCTGAGCTGCTAGTGCTGAGGGGTTTTCCTGGATGTCATATATCCCATCTCAGATGTGAGATTGGTTCGTCTCTCCTAAGGTCTCGTGATTTCTCCTGCAGTCTCCAATGTGTAGCACATTCACACGCCTCCATAAGCTTTCTTCCTCTGCTTCTTTGGCTCACATCCTTGCTGACTTGTGGGGGTTCAGGCTGGGCATGGAATGGCAACGAATGTTCCTGCTGGGGTCATTACAGGGTAGCATTCATTTGCCACCTGGGATGTCAGCTTTGTCTGTGGGAACTGTTGGGATGCAGTGGCAGAGCACCATGTTGCATCCCTATCAATGTGTTGGAAAATCCTGAAGCCTCACAACCTTCTCTTCTGGGGGCTCCCAGCTGTGCAGGAGAGATGGGAAATAACCCAGAAATAGCAGGATGTCTGCAGTGACTGCAGCAGCTACCTGCTCCTGTGGGGTCCAGAGGCTGGGGAGAGTGGAAGGACTTCTGATTTTGTGGCAGTTCCCAAACCTGGAAACAGAGGGTCTGTTCTCTTGTTGGATATTTAGGGTAATAGAAGAACATTTCTAGCTCTGTTAGCAGACCCAGAGGACTCCCGAGGCTGTTTGAGTAATCAGCGCCCACTTTTGGTTTACATTTTCTTGCCACTGTTTTGCCCCTGGCCCTTCTGGCGCCTTTGCCAAAGAGAGGGAGAGGAGTTAGGGAGGCATCTGGTTTATCGTCTGACACTTGCATGCTGGAGCTGGCTCGGTGCTGCTTGATTAATACTCAACCTTTGCCTTGTATTTAGTTTCCTCTGGGACTGAGGATCAAATCCATGGTGCTCTGCCACTGCATCCCTAGCTATTTATTTTGAAACAGGGTCTTGTTAATTGCTAGGCTGGCTTGGAACTTGCAGTCCTTCTGTCTCGGTCTCCCAAGTAGCTGGGATTGCAGGTGTGTGGGCCACAGAGCCCAGCTGCCTTTTCCCCCCACTTCCTGTGGGGCTGGGGATCAAAACCAGGACTGCGTGCATGATGGCAAGCACAGCAGCACTGTGCTACACCCTCAGTCCACACCTTGCAGTTTTTTGTGTGTGTGATGCTGGGGATTGAACCCAGGGCCTTATGCATTCGAGGCAAGCACTCTACCAAGTGAGCTACATCCCCAGCCCATACACCTTGTGTTTTTAAAACAGCTCTATTGGGATGAGGTTCACATATCATATGATTTACCCATTTAATGTGTGTATTTCAGTGGATTTTAGTAGATTCACAGGTGTGTGAACAACTGTCACCACAATTAGTTTTACAGCATTTTCATCACCCAAAAAGAAAGCGGTGCCATTTAGCTTTCATCTCCTTATCTCTCCTTCTATACCCCAGCCCTAGGCAACTACTAATCTACTATATTATTATTATTTTTTCCTTCTTTATTTCGTTTCTGCAGTGCTGGGGATTAAACCCAGGGCCCCATGCATGCTGGTTAAGCAGTCTACCACTGAGCTATACCCCCAGACCATTTTAATTTTTATTTTTTTTTTGAGACAGGATCTTGCTGTTATGATCCTTACTTGTGATCCTCCTGCCTCAGCCCGTTGAGTTACTGGGATAACAGATGTGTGCCATTGCACCAAGAGCTAATCTACTTTCTTGTCTGTAGAGATTTATACATTAGGGACTCTGGATTAAACCCAGAGGCACTTAACAACTGAGCCACATCCCCAGCCATTTTTTGTATTTTTAAAAAAATTTAATTTTAAATGAACACACAGTATCTTTATTTATTTTTATGTGGTGCTGAAGATTGAGCCGAGTGCCTCACATGCGAGGCAAGCACTTTACCACTGAGCTACAGCCTCTGCACCCACTTTTTTTGTATTTATTTAAAGACAGGGTCTCACTGAGTTGCTTAGGGCCTCTTCAAGTGGCTGAGGCTGGCCTTAAACTTGCAGTCCTATCTCAGCCTCCCAGGTGGCTGGGACTATAGGTGTGTTCCACTGTGCCAGGATCATTAAGGACTTTTCATACCATTGGAATCAGATGACACATGGTTTTTTTATACACTCAATAAATTGCCAGTTATGATGAGAGGGGTGAAACAACCTCCCTCAACACATAGCCAGGAAGAAGCAGAGTTGGGATGTGAACCTACGTCCAGCTAACCACAGTCTTTCTGGAGGTTGGGAGGTGGAGGTCCTCAGGATCTTCAGAGAAGGCTGATTTCTGCTTGTGGGTGTGGGGGGGGGTGTAGAGAAAGGAGTTCCAGAACTTCCATAGGGGTTGGTGATCATTGTCTGTCTTACCCCTGCAGATGCCCCAAGAAAGGCCAGCATAGACGGCTTCTCATCTGATTCCTGGTTGGACATGGAGGAGGAGTCCTGTGAGCAGCAGCCCCAGGAGGAGGAGAAGGAGGAAGAGGGAGATGGGGCAGATAAGGTGCCCAAGCTGCCAACCGATGGCCCTGCCTCCCCCACCAGCACCCCCTCTGAGGAGCAGGAGAACCTTGGCAAGAAGCCTAAAGCACCTGCCATGCAGTTCCTCAAAAGGACCTTGTCCAATGAGTCAGAGGACAGCGTGAAGTCTACCACGATGCCCATAGACTACCCCAAGACACCCAGCGGCTCTCCTGCCACCGAGGTCTCCACCAAATGGACCCACCTCACCGAATTTGAACTGAAGGGCCTGAAAGCCCTGGTGGAGAAACTTGAGTCCCTCCCAGAGAACAAGAAGTGTGTCCCCGAGGGAATCGAGGACCCCCAGGCCCTCCTGGAGGGCGTGAAGGTGGGCAGGGATCATGGCTGGGGAGATGGGCAGGTTCTTTTCATTGTGACAGTGGGCAGCTTGGCTCAGGATGGCTTAGTGCACATGTTCAGAGGATCACCTAAGTGCAGGGAGGGCCTCTGTCCAGGCAGGGCTGTCTAGGGCAACTGAGCAGGGGTCACCATTAATGGCTGCAGAGGGACTTCCTGATAGCAGCTGGCTCTGTGGTTGGCAGCAGATTCTTTCATTGTACTTGTTGGAAGGCTGAGGTCTTGCTGGCCGAGGGGTTGAGTGTGGCAGTAATTTGGTTTCTCCATCCTGGTCAAAAGGACTTGCCACTGTGGCTGGTTCCCTGGAGTGTGCATCTGTGTCATGTGAGTAGGTTGTATATCCCAATGGTCCTCTTCTAGCTAATGTGGTTACCACATGATGGCCTGAGGTTCAGAGGTCTTTGTTTTCATCTTCATTTAACCAATGAGGATATAGGCTCAGAGAGGTTAAGGAACTTCCCTGAAGTCTCAGATATGACGATGCAGGAGAGAGTATCCAACCACTCAGAACTGCCTCCTGTCTCAGTGTGGCTAAGGCTCTGGTGTAAGGCTGCAGAGACGTTTGGGCTTCCTCCTACAATGTCTGATGCCCAGGGAAAGCCACCTGCCTTCTGAGGCTGCAAACTGAACTTGCCTCTTCTTTAGGAATTGGTCGTTCATTTGTTCTTTCAGGAAACATTGTGTTGGGCCCTGGGGTACAGAACTATTAGGACTATTCCTGCCATCGAGGGGCTCACTGACCAAGGACTGAACTTTGGGGGTCAAAGACTTGGGATCTGCATCAGGTAGCCTGGCAGGTGTTATCAATAGAGGGTGCTGGTGTACAAAACCCCTAACTCCAACCTTGTATTATTTTTTGTGGTGCTGGGGATTGAACCCAGGCCCTCCTGCATGCCAAGCAGGTGCTCTAAGAGTAAGCCACATGCATGGAAATCTATTTCAGTTCATGATCCCTGCCCCGCTTTCCTCTTATCCTCCCCTGTGCGCCCCGCCCCCCCCC